ACGTGCCAAAACGAGTGTATGAGCTTGTTCCGAGGGGATTTGATGCCACTATCGACTGCGGTTAGTCCATATGTTTCTCAAGAATTGCAACCAATCTAATGGGGGGACTATAGGGTCATTCCACGAGCCCAAAACTGTGTCGCATAAGGTTCAGAAGATGATGATGCTCGAGACTGATTCACCGGAAACCATCAACGAAATGTTGGTGTCTACTCGCAAGATGGGGAGGTGTGGGATAATTGCTGCGTATGCTGGTTTTGCCAATGGCGTCAATGTCGGGGCGTTGATGGAGAAGGGCATCCGGTATGATCATTTCTATGGGAGACTGTCATTAATATCTGATGTGCTTTGACATTACAAGATTGATAGGCAACGGTCAAGCGCCGGTGCATCTATATTGGAAGGAGATCATGAACGACTATATCAAGACAGGGAAGTTTGATCCATCATTGTGCGTTTGCTTTCTATCTTGCACCGCAAGCACAAGATTTGACAACTTGAGCAGTATCGTGACACACCGTGTACCCCTCGAGGATATGGCCAAACTCTACAACGCATTCGACAAGCGTCTGGCTGGCGTCGAAAAGGTGTTCGTGGAGACCAAGTTCTCTTCGCCACCAAGCCGGGGATTCCCCACCACCACCCGGGTCGATAATTGGCAGTCTATCAATTAAGAATTGGTGTGAGAGTGACCATTGCGTGTATAGGTATAATAACCGTTGAAAGCAATGGACGAGTAGGTGTATCTGTGTATTTTTAGGTACTTTTGTGTTGTATCGCCCAGTCATTGTAGTTGTACCTCCAACAATGGTTTATTGAGCTTAAATTATCCGACTGTTCGTTTGATTGATGTATTTTCCTGTGGATGATAAGAAAAGCCCGAAAGGTTGCCTGAATTTAGTTGGATACGGTTAAGGGATGAAGTTGATGATTGCTAGCACAATACGGTCAAGGATGAGTGAGTGAGTGAGAACCAATATTGGGGTCCCAGCGGAACAATTGGGGTTCGTGCTACATACACGCTGTAATGTATCAACGATGTATGCTATTGATGATTGCTAGCACAATTCTATGTAGGGTTGTCATCCGCGGCAAGCCAAAATGGATTTGGAAATATGTAGAGACAATGGAAAGATAGGTAACTATGAATCGTCGTGTATATGATAAAGTGGCTATGGATCGAATAGGATTATTAGATAGTGGTTGGGGTATACACATAACACAAAGCAGCCCTCCCTTGCCAAATATTCCAACCGCTGCGGTAGTACGTAGTAGTCGTATGATATATCGGGTACTGCGGAAAGAATGACAGTCGCATCGCTTTGCCCATTGCACTGTCACGAAATCAAAGACTGAAATCCCGGATATCCTGGACACCCAGACTCACGTTCTAGAACAGTGCTTTTGCGGAACTCCTTCTGAGCTGAACCCCGACGCCATGGTTCTTGAGTTTCTCGAACCTTGATGCAATATCGTCGGGAAATTCAAACGAGGAACGATCTTCCGAAACATCGATCACCACCTCTTGAAGCGCGGAAACCCCGTTACTACGATAGCTCTCGATTGGCTGTCCCAGCAACCCAGACCGAGATTCCAAAGTCCGCAGAAGACCATCCCAACTGAACGAGAAAGGACCGGTGTAATCCAGCCTCTCAAGTTGTGGCATTAAGCAACTGGTCTGGTCCGATGAGATATGTTGGGGGTCGCATAGTTGCAAGAAATCATCCGTCAGTGGGCGCTTACCGTCCGTCCTAAGAATTTTGAACGTAAGCGAGGTAAGCGCCGTCATTGGGCGAAACAGGTCTGCGAGTTCCTGGGTGGTAATGGCAGTAATGTCAATCGTGAGCGCCTTCAATGCGCAGCCAGAGCGCTTTACGAGTGACGGGATCGCGAGGACGGGGACGGTTTGGGAGCCTGCTGTGTGCGTATGGTGGAAGTGCGTCAAGTTGGGGGTGAGGATGTTTTCGAGAAGCATCGTTACGTCTGTGTTGTTCTCGTTGTATATGGATAGGTGCGTTAACGAGGCGAGGTTGAGGGGTGATTCGGGTAGGCTGTGCCCGTCGTCGCCTTCGAGGACTTTCCTGAGGCAGACATCGAGTAGCTGTGGAGCCTGGCGCAGAACTTCTAGGCATTCGTCCACGTAGAATGACTCGAGCTCTATGTGTGTGATGATATGCCATTGCAGGTGTACCGACTTGATGTACAGGCAGGAGAGGGTGACATGTTGCAGTTGAGGAGAGTTTTGGATTACGACGGTGTTCTTCCGACTTCCCTGTCCATCTTGGGGTTTTAGCGCGAGGTAATGGAGGATGGGGAAGCTTTCCTCTGGTGCAGGAAGTGACGCGTAACAAAAAGAGGGTAGGCGCAGGTCCAAGTAGTGCCAGCGGGAAGAGTAGAGGTTGACGACTTTGATGATATCTTCGTCGAGTTTCGTCCCTCCCCACTGAATTTCTTTCGACGAGCTGAGTCGGATGGATAATGGGAGGTTCCCTGACCGAGCGAGCCACTCTTCCAGCAACTTGAGTTGAATGGGGACTTTGAACGCGTTGAAGAGGTGGAGAGTCATTGACGTCCATAGCACGGGCGTCGCCCATGCTATCCGCCGCCACGAACTGCACACTGCCCCCAGCCTCAATGGAGCAGAGATGTTGGTGGGGGTGTCGTCGTCGTTCGGCACAAAAGAGGGAATGCAGAACTCAAAGATCTCAGAGATGATCTCCGGGGGTAGACTGCGCACAATGAGACTATCAATTGCGTTGATGCGTCGTTTTAGCAGGTGGACTTTCTCGATGAGTCCGGCCAGTGTGTCGGCTACGCGCAGCACCTCTGCTTCGACGATGGCTAGTTCGACATGGGGATCTGAAGCGTGGTCTGGTAGAGTCTTCTGGTGTCGGCAGAGTCGTGGTGGTTGCTCGACTGAAGACATGGTTGGTTGTTGGAAGTACGCGGTGCTGTGGTGGTTGAGTGAAAGCTAGTGAAAGCAGTTCAAGGGCCATGGCTATACTAGTACACCCTGATAACCGGCCCGTCGCCCGAAGGCAGGTTCTATACAGGATTGAAAACAGTACTTAGATAGCAAACCCAAGTCCAGAATTGAGCTGTCAATGGACTTTCTTACGGGCACAGCGCAAAAGCACAGACCAGCACAATGAAACGCAAAAATGTCAACTTCCACTGAATCCTATGCCAGTACTAGAACTATTATACATATAGACTGCTGGGTAAACTATGCAGATGCAATTACATTTGGCTCTACCAGACCCGATGCGACCTTGTCACCGAGCGCAAATTCATTGCGGACTATATCTTCCTCCAATTGGCAGATGCTCAAAGTCGACCTCCCCTGTAGGAATCGAAGAAGGTAAAATTGGGGGCGTTCCTGCGAAGCTGGTCGTTCGTTGATACCAGGAGCATTTACGATCTCACTGCGCTTGCGAAGATCGGAAGGCTGTCGATCCTTGACAGCTGTGCGTTGGCGATCGTGATCATAAGAAGCAGGTGGTGATTTGCGGTATGCTTTCGCCGAGATACGAAAGGCCCCTCTCCCTGTAGCCAAGCTACCATTGCGATGGCCAGGTGTTGTAGATGGACGACAATCATCGCACTATGGTGGAGGTGTTGAGAATTTGAACCTGCAATTCTCTGATGGAGAAAACCCTCACTGGGGTAGGATCTCCCCAGCCCTATCACGAAAGTGTTGTCGATTGGTGCACCGAGTGGTAACACGGAATCAGGCAGCTTCCCTGTACCTCTTGATTTAGGACCACAGCGGAGATAAAGGCAAAGTTCTGCCTCCAACAGCCCAATAGGTTGCCAAGCACAGGGTGATAAACGGCTCTCATGCAGATTTGAGCATCACCTATCGATTGCTCGGGCAGCCAAAGCCGCCGGTTGGGTATGGCGGGAGGTGTTATGGTTCGATTGATTCGCAAACCAAATTTTGAAGACCATGTAGGCAAGGCATGCAGAGATAGCGGCCAATGTCCCAATGGTTTTTGAGCCGATTACTGATGTTTCTTGTTCGACCTGCAATAGATGGGATATCGGTCATTTTGTGTAGTAAGATACGGCGAACTGGGCACACTTACAACGGAAGTGAAAGGAGAGAGAATGGGGATTGTAAAATGTGAGGCCCCGATGGCGGACCACCAACGTTGTTGCTGATTGTGCTGCATGAGGAGAGAATGTCGCGTGTAGTGTGTCGCCAGATAAATTATGAGGAGCACCAGAAGGGCTATGAGTATCAATAGGAAGACCTGTATCATCACAGAGTCAATTCAGCATGACCAATGTAAAAGGCGGTCACTCACAAGAAGCCTCTCCAAAGAAGCGTGTTTTTCCTTGTGCTCTTTCGCAAGCAAACTCAATTCGCGCTGTGAATTATTGTCAATGGTTGGGTCTCGACAACATGGACATGCGACATACTTCTCTCTTCATATCCTGCGCGTAACCTAGACTCTTCACCTCCTTCTTATGTGACTCCTGAGCCTCAAGTAGAGCTTCCGCTTTCAGAGCTCGAGCAGCCCAATATTGCTCCGTGACTGTCAAAGGCTGCGGAACATGTGCGCCTTGGGTTAGAGTTGCAACCGTTGCATCAGAGGCAAGACGGTGGCGATATTGCAACATGCTTGTGTCAAAATTTTGTTCATTGCCGCGTTTTTTGAGTTTGTTCGCTGAAGACATGCTCAATCTCAATACCTGGCAATGCGCATTAGAAAAGCGAAGTTCAACTGAAGTTCAACTTTGAACTTTCCATGTGATCGATTGCGATCAATTCGGCCCTGCCCCATTAGGGTTCCCTTGCAACAACCTCCACCCTCCACCTCCAAGTCTTGTGAGATCCCTATATATACCACAAAGCATCAACAGCTAAGCTTGAAAGAAAAGGAAAAGAGCGAGAAAAACATCTATGCAGTCCGAATCTGCTTTCTTCCCTTTATAATCTGGTCGTTTGAGCAGGAGATTTGGTACCTGGAGTGATTCGATATGCAGATTTTCAATCCTTCTTAGCTCAGCTGGTAGAGCGCGTCACTAGTAAAATCGTTAATGACGAGGTCAGTCGTTCAAGTCGGCTAGAAGGAATATCTTTTTCTCTGGCTACTCTTGGTGTGAATGGGTAGTGAAACTATGATTCAGTGGTTCGCCAGACGACATAATTAACTCTTGTATACTTATTCCCTTTTGCTTGCCCAACATTACGCTCGTTATGGATGATTACCTTATCTGCGTGGGCAACTACTTTAGAATTTGGATTTGGATTCACGAACAGGCTGATAATCTAAGTTCAACCTTCAACATTGATCCCACTGGAGGCAAGTCTAGCCCGGCATCGTATTGTACGATATTCACAGACAAGGCTGATCCCAGGAGCATATCAGGATCGTTTGTAAATTCTGATAGCAAGCTAGTACTCTTTATGAACACAAACGACGCAGGCTTCTCTGCGGATCCACGCGCAGAGCTCATCAGAGCTGAAGAAGAGGTTTCGCATGTGGGTGATGTTCTAGCAAAACTGCTGGAGAGGGTGCAACTGTTGAAGGCCAGAATCAACACTACAGAGAGCCTGATTCTCCACATCCTGCCTCCCGAGATCATCGCCGACATATTCCTCTTCTGTATCCCCCCACTCATCCTTCAAGAAGGCTCAACCGAACCAGTTGAAGAAGGCTCTACCGACCAACGTGAAGAAGGCTCAACCGACACATCCAGGTTTACCCCGTTGGAACTCGGAAGCGTGTGCAGCTCTTGGAGAAAGATTGCTTGGAGTACACCATCCCTCTGGTCATCGCTAGCCCTCCACTTCACCAACACTCACGTAGCTCCGCTGCAAATTCTTTTGCTGGAACAATGGCTATCCCGCTCCGGTAGTCTTCCGCTCTCAATGCGGTTTAGCTCATCGAGAGAGATTCACTGGAAAGCGGGCATCGAGATTCCCTTTTTCAATGTCATCAATGCCTACTCATCCCGCTGGGGCCATTTCGACTTCAGGCTACCTTGTTCATGCTATCCGCGTCTTCCTGGGCCCGACACTGTGCTTTCCTCGCTCCAATTGCTTTGCCTGAAACCAGATGACCCAGACGGAAATCGGGTCAGAAACATTAACTTCAACGCTCCTCAACTGCAGCACCTCTCTGTTTCCAGGCTCTATGTCAAGTCACTTAAACTGACCTTAGCCGCTCTCACACACCTGGATCTCGAATCATTCTATCCCGACGAATTCTTGGCAATATTACGGCAGACACCACAAATCGTAGACGTATGGTTCAAAAGGATACTGGACGGAGACGACGGCCACGAGTTACCCAAAGCACCCCTCCTTCTCTCCTCACTAAAAAAATTGAGAATTTCGAACGATCACGACATTCACCTGTCGCTCCTTGATAACATCATCGCCCCACAACTAGATGAATTTCATTGTTACACGACAGGACCCCTCGCGACTAGCACCCCTACCTTAGCTATCTCTTCGATGGAAGCATGTTCATTGAAGATTCTTGTGCTTAAACGGCTTGTGCTAAGAGAAGAGCAGTTGGTGGAGCTTTTACAGCCGATCACATCGCTCACGACGTTGTCGCTGACAGTGCGCAAAAAAAACAGCATCCCACAACCGGTAACCGATCATTTCCTGCAATTGTGCAACCCAACCCATGCGGTACTGGGGCAAGGCAATTGTTTGCTTCCACGTTTAGAATCCTTGATATATCATGGCCCTCAATCGTTCAAATGGTCCACTGTGTTACACCTCCTGGAGTCTAGAACCGTCATTCCGGGCTCTCCGGGTGTTCAGGTGCAAGGATTCGGCGACGCTGTATCGACAATAGAATTCGCCGCGTTCAACACCACTCATGATGCATCTTCGACTAACTTAGACCTCGATGAAACTGCCAGGCTGCTCAAACTGAAAGACAGTGGAGTTCAATTTACCGTCAAAGTCAGAGAAGCCAGATGAAATTCGCAGTGTAAGTTTACATCTTTCGTCGTTCTAAGTGTTGGCCTTACCCTTGTGTATTACTTTCAGACTGTCATTACGGACTACTACATCAAGCTCCTGTTTGATATAAGTCGCAGTTATATTGCTGCCTTCTATGCAATTATCAGCCCGGTCGAACTATCACCTGTATAAGTACAAACATTCTACTAACCGTCTACTTATCTTCTGCATCACATGAAAATGGAAGACGAACTTCTATAGTAACCCAGGTCAATAAGAGTAAACCATACATCTAATCTATGCGCCTAGTACCCTTTGGCACCAAACCCCATACCACTACCATCACACCCATCATCGAGATGACTCTGGTATGACAAGGTATCAGAAGGTGAAAGATCAGCCATTCCGATCCACTCACAAAGGCTGCAATGACCCCATGCCATACTTCGATGCCAGGAGTCCAGTGATAAATGGAAGGGCAGCAGATCCTGCTACGGCAATGCCACCAGCAAAGAATCCCGACGAAATATACCCAGCAGAGTGCCCACCATCACGTTCGTGAATGATGAAAGTGACGATCCAGCCTATGAAAGTACCAATGTCAGTGTGGAATGTTAAAACTGACACATATTTCGTCACCTCCGAGGGTAACTTCAATTCCAACATAGATTATGGCAAATACAGCCAAGAGATGGACAGCTCTAAGTCCGAGTATTTGTCTATACTTGCTTCCTCCTTGTGTAGCATTCGAATCATAAATGGCTTCTTGACCGGCCTCTGCCAAAACATCTGCACAGAGAGAGCGACTAAGTTAACGAAACATATGTGTTCAAATATAGAAAAGGTAGGCACCATCTTGTTGTTTGAAGCGAAAGACACAAACGATCAGGACGAGATTCGATAACGCCAAGCCTACAGAGATGATAAAATGGAAGGCCCATCGACGGCTGTTCAAACCGGAAAAGTATGTCGCGGCGAATGGAGAGGTGAATGCTCCGAGACCTGTGAACGAGATATGTCGTTAGGAAGCACCATGGTAGAGTAGCTCATTTTTCGAAAACGTGTCGAAATTACCATAAGCTGCGTGCATCGTCCCTAACTTCGTGGACATATTTTCCTGTAGGCTCCCAACAAAGCCATTCGCTTGCGCATTCTGTCACGCAGATTATCCTCAGTGCAAAGCTCACGCGAGAAATCAGAGAGGATGGCTCGCCTGCAGGGATAATCCGAACCCTAGAATGAAGTATGCGCAGATCATTATAGGAAACGGCGGCGCAATAGCCATGATCACATAGGCGCAAAGTTGGCAGAATGCGCCGAAGACCATCACCTAGCAACTTCTGTTATGGTCGATGGGAATGAACCGGAGTGGAAAGACAGTACCTTTCCGAATCCGATGCGGTCGTTCAGCCAAACGTTCAACGCTGCACCGATGACATAACCCTTATAAAGCACAAATTAGATGTCTTTCTCGGGTCGAAAACTAGAAAAACACAGCTTACGAAGCAGTTACCTATGAAAATCATGGAGACGACGGTGAATCCAACCTGAAGCCCAAGTTTCAATAACGAGTTGAAAGGCATAGTGTTCAAGGTTTACATGATAGTATTCTTGGATCCTAGGTAGTAAAGGCCCAGTCGACCCATCATTCCATCCAATGAGCCAGACACACCAGCACAAAGCAATGAACTGAATGAGACTTTTCCGTTTTTGTTGTGGAGAAAGCAACTTTGCTGTTGTTGAAGTGGCACGGCTATGAGAGGCATCGGAATTTTGTATATCAAAGGAAGGACGCGACGGCAGAGCTCCGGAAACGTTGCAAATATTGGTGTTGACATCTTCAAGAAGGAATGCATCTTTTGTTATGGAAAAATCCGAGTCCTTCCGGATGAGAGTGGATGGGCGCCGACTTCGCTCGGAGAGGTGGGCGGGGAGTGGTCTGAGGTCGGTTTTTGATTCTTGTCTCGGTTCTGCGCCTGAATCAACTGAGGCGGGATATGACGACTCAAGAACAGATAGTGTGGCTAAAGCAATCTCCTCTTCACTGTTCGATGCATGTTGATTGACGTAGGGCGAGGATGTCCCAAGTTTTGAAGGTGGTATAACAATGATTGACATCAGGAATCGAGAAAAAAGGAAAAGAAGAACACCAGAAACCCGGAATTTAAGCAAGATCGGTTACTCATCCCAGATATCATTCCAGAATCCTAAGAAACCGGGATTGTTTTGAACATGAGAATGCTCAGCTGATGATGAAGGTCGTCGCAGTACGTGATATGTTCAGGTTTACGTTCGCGTCGCCTCTTCTCATATCCGAGAAAACCTTGTGACAAGCCTCAAGGCTTGAAGAATGTGAGATAAGGTTAGAAGGGGTGACAAATAATGGGATTTTGGGGATAAGTAGTCGGGTTTCGTTGCGGACCTGGGAGGCGTCGATGACTCGAAATGCGCTTACAGAGGCTTGCAGGCCTGGGGCTTATTTGAATTTGCAAGATAAACCGAGGTTTCACCGCAGAGAGCTCTGAGGCTCTCTGAGGGTGCTCCTGGGTACTCACGAAGTCCAAAGATCCACCGGGGTTCAGAAAGGTTTATATGCTATTTGCCTGTTTCTCGAGATGCCGTATGAACCATCAACAATCGAGGACAGTACTGGATAGCAGCGACGCGGCAACTTTGGGGGTGCGCCAATTATGCGGTGTATCGACGGAAGGATAATCCAGCATAAAGTGGCGTCTCTTTTGTGATGGCTTCCGCTCCCCAGCTTCAGAGCAGCACAAACACTTGTAACAAGTTGGTAGAGGACCTATAAGAGGAATCGGAACATGCAACGCGCTGTTGCTTATTGTTTACCAAAATCTTCGGATCATAGTGCATATGTGTAAAGTTGGTGTAAAGCAACCTTGGCAAGTGCGCCTTTGTCTTCCACTATATTACTCTGCCATTTGTCTTTACCAGACTTCTTCGTCGCTTTACATCGATGCAAACAGAGTACATGCCATTAACTCACGCACGGATCAACACATTTCATGGCCCGAAGAGACAATTGTTAGGAAACCAGGCCGGCCATGCACCACCTGCATGGAGAGGGAACCCGCCTGTTCCACAAGGTCACATGCCAGCATCCGCGAAGGGTAAAATGGCGCAGGAACAG